TGAGAAGAGTCAACAGCTTGGAAAAAGAAAACAACTACATAAAAAGTAGAATTGGTTAAATGGAAAAGGAAGTACAAAAGCTAACTGAGGAAAACAACTCCTTAAAAGTTAGAATTGGGCAAGTAGATGCTAATGAATCTATGAGACATCAAGAACGAGTCAATAAAATTCAAAAGGATGAAAAAATAGAAGAAAATGTAAAATATCTTATTGGAAAAAACTGACCTAAAAAATAAATCTGAGAGAGACTATTTCAGAATCCTTGGACTGTTTGAAAGCCATAACGAAAAGGAGGACATAGAAGACATCTTTCAAGAAACGATCAAGGAAAACTGCCCTGATATCCTGGAACCGGAGGGCAAAATAAGCATTGAAAATATTCACCAATTACTCCAGGAAAATGATCCTAATATGAAACCTCCAAGGAACATTATAGCCAAATTATGGAACTATCAGGTCAAAGAAAAATACCTCAAGTGGCCAGAAGGAAACACTTCAAATACTGGGGAACAACAATCAGGATTACACAAAACTTAGGAGCTACAACGTTAGACGATCAGATGTCATGGAACATATCCCAGAAGGCAAAGGAGCTAGGACTACAACCAAGAACTACCTACCCGTGCATATTATTGTGCATAATACTTCAAGGGAAAAGAGTGATCATTCAGTAAAATAGAAGGATTTCAAAGCTTTCATAAGGGGAAGACCATTATTGCACAAAAAATTTGATCTTCAGTATCAAGATCCCAGAGAAGCATAAACACATAAAACAAAAAGAAAATTAAAATTTAAAAAATTAAAAAGCTTTTGCACAAACAAAAGTAAAAAGCTGGGAAACAGTCTTTACAGCAAGTCTCTCTGATGATGGCCTCATTACTTAAATATATAGAGAACTGAGTCAAATTTATAAGAATACAATTTTCTGATGAAATCAAAAGTGTTTATAGGCGTATGAAGAAGTGCTCTAAATCATATTTTGATTAGAGAAATGTAAACAACTCTGAGGTACCATCTCACACGTATCAAATTGGCTAATTAAAAAAAAGGAAAATGATAAATATTGGAGAGGATATGGTAAAATTGAGTCACTAATGTGCTGTTGGTGGAGTTGTGAACTGATCTCCAGCCATTCTGGAGATCAATTTGGAACTATAGCCTAAAGGGCTATAAAACTGCATACCCATTGACCTGGCAAAACTGCTACTAGGTTTGTATTCCAAAGAAATACAAAGTTCCTACATGTGCAAAAATAAAGTGGTCCTTTTCCTGGTGGCAAAATATTGGAAACTGAAGGAATGCCCATCAGTTGGGGAATGACTGAACGAGCTATGCTGTGTGAATGCAATGGAATGCAATTGGCAGTAAGAAATGAACAGGCAGATTTCAGAAAAACCTGGAAAGACATGTATGAGCTGTTGCAAAGTGAAATGAGCAGAACCAGGAAAACATTGTACACAGTATCAGCAACATTGTGTAATAATCAGCTATGAATGACTCAGCTCTTCTCAGCAATACAATAACCTAAGACAAGTACAAAGGACTTGGGAAGGAAAATGCTATCCACATCCAAATAAAGAATTGTTGATGGACTCAATGTAAATTAAAGCATACTTTTTTCACTCACTTTATTCTTTTTCATGTTTTTCCCCCCTTTTGATCTGCTTTTTTTTTTTTCACAACTGTGACTAACATGAAATTATGTTTTACAAGATAGCACGTGTATAGCCTATATCAAATTGCCTACCATTTTAGGAGGGAGATGGAGGGGAGAAAAACTTGGGACTCATAATCTTCTAAAAATGAATGCTAAAAATTGTTTTGACATGTAATTGGGAAAAATATTATTAAAAATAAATAATCAAAAAGTACAGTTGAAGACCTAAGCATCATGATAAAGAAACATGGAAAGTGTATTTACTTAAGAAATATGAAGTATTTGGTTCTTTCTGTTTCGTGGTGGTATAAGCCAACTCTTACCACCTGGACACCATAACAAGGTTATCTTGCAGAAATAGAATCCATATCTACACTTCCTTATTAGAGTAATTAATTTTATGTTTCTCCTTTAACACATTATCTAAAAATATAACTAATGGACTTAAGTTTTATTTCCAGTTCAAAATTTCCTTCTGCCCTCCAAACTCTTCCCCCACCCATTGAGAGGACAAGAAATACTATACCCATTATATATATGAAGTCATGAAATAATTTTTACATTAGCCATGTTTCAGGGAGGAAGAAAAGGTAAAAAGAGAGAAAATGAAAGAAAATAAGCTTCAATCTGCACATAGTTTATCACTTTCCTTTCTGGAGATGGATAGCATTTTTTATCATGAGTCCTTTGGTATTGTCATGGATCGTTGTATTGCTAAGAATAACCAAGTCTTTAACAGTTGATCATCATACAGTATTGCTGTTGCTGTGTACAATGTTCTTCTGGTTTTGCTCACTTTGCATCAGTTCATATAAGTCTTCCTAGGTTTTTCTGAAGCCATCTCCTTCATCATTTCTTATAACATGATAGTATTCCATCACAGTCATATATATGTGTGTGTGTGTGTGTGTGTGTGTGTGTGTGTGTGTGTGTGTGTGTGTGTATGTATGTATGTATGTGTATATCTCATAAGTTGTTCAACCATTTCCTAATTGATGGTCATCACCTCAATTTCCATTTCTTTGCCAACACAGAAAGACCTGTTACAAATATTTTTGTATACATGGGTTCTTTTCCTTTGATTTCTTTGGGCTACAGACCTAGTAGTGGTATTCCTGGGTCAAAGTGCATGCACAGTTTTATAGCCCTTTGGGCACAGTTCCAAATTATTCTTCAGAATGGTTGGACTAGTTCTCAGCTTCCACCAGCAGTGCATTAGTGTCTCTATTTTTCCACATCCTTTCCAGCATCTGTCATTTTCTTCTTCTGTCATCTTAGCCAATCTGATGAATGTGAGGTGATACCTCAGAGTTGTTTTAATTTGAATTTCCTTAAATTTTTAGTGATTTAGAGTATTTTTTGTGTGACTATTTATTGCTTTGATTTCTTATGAAAACTCATATCCTTTGACCAATTATCAGTTGAAGAATGGCTGTTATATAAATTTGGCTCCATTATATTTGGGAAATGAGATCTTTACTAGAGGAAATTGCTACAAAAAAATTTTTTTCCCCAGTTTCTTGCTTTCCTTCTAATTTTGGCTGCATTTTTAATTTTTAGTTTTTTGGTGCAACCGCTTTTTAATCTAATGTAATCAAAATTAGCCATTTTACCTTCTGTGATCCTATTGCTTGTTTAGTCATGAAATTTTTCTTTATGTATGGATCTGACAGGTAGTTTTCCCCTTCGTACTCCTCTAATTTGCTTATGATCTCACCCTTTATATCTAAATCATGTACCCATTTTAACCTTATCTTGGTATAGAGTGTGAGATGTTGGTCTATGCCTAGTTTCTGCCAGACTACTTCCTGGTTTTCCCAGCAATTTTTGTCAAATAGTGAGTTCTTGCCCTAGTAGTTTGAATCTTTGGGTTTATGAAACACTGGTTTACTGTGGTCATTTACTATTATATTATGTGCCTAATCTATTCCATTGCTAACCCATTGCTCTATTTAAAACAACCAAAACAATAACCAGCATTTTGTGTTTTTATCAATGTGGGAACGTCTGGTTTGGGTATCTATCATTATACATAATTCCCATCTTTTTAACTCAGTCCTTTATAGCTGCCTTTATAATCCTTTATAGTTATGTGACTTAACCATTGTTACACAGCCAATAAATGTCATAAGTGAGATTCAACCTAAATCTTGCTGATTCTGGAGGCAGGTCCTATCTCATACTTAGCCCTCAAAATTTACTTTTGTGATGGACTTTCAGAAAAGTTCACAAGATCTCATAAAAAAATATTCATTATAAAAATTGTTGTATGTCCAGAGAAAAGGAGGGGGTATATTCTTTTCCTGGATAAAAGTTTTATAAGTATACAGTATTAAGTTTTGTTTTATTATTCTTTGAGTTTTTATTGTAGTCTTTGTGTATATCATTTTCCTATTTCTGCTTACTTTACTTTTAATCCATTTATAAAAAATATCCCATGGTTCTCTGAATTCCTTTATTTAGTTTCTTGTAGCAGAATAATACTCCATTATTCATATGCCACAGTTTGTTTAGATATTCCTTATTCCCCCTTCATTCTCAATACTTTGCTAACATAAAATTGCTACTATAAATATTTTGATATATAATAGGCCTTTCTGTATTTGATCTCCTTGGAGGAATAGGTTCCTAGCAGAGGAATCTCTGGTTCAAAGGGTATGAATACTTTGGTTACTTTTATTTCATAATTCCAAATTATTTTTAGTAATTATTAGACTAATTCAAAGCTTTTACAACTGTATGTTTGTGTGCCTGTCTTTCCATAACTCTCAAGGGACTTTTATTTAATTAAGTACCAAAATAACATTGTCATTAGGTGATTTCACTTAGTGACTCCCCTATGTAGGTTCTGATAATCGCATTATATCAAGTTTCACTAAATTTTATTCTTTCCCAAATGAATGCAAGCAACATAAAGCAATGTAGTTGTGGGATTTATATGTATTTAGGAGTACCTATGGTATTTGCCTTTTGAATGCTTTACATCTGGATTCTTTCCATTCCCTAAGGAAAGCTCAAGTAGCCAGCATTTTTTTCCCTGTGGTACTATATAGATGAGAAAAGACCTATCGTCAGATCCCATGTCCTGTGCTTACCTTTCCTTTCTATTCTTAAGGCTTATTGTTTAAATTAAGGTGTCTGCCTTCAATAAAGAACATAATCTATACATTTTTATTGAGTTGGTATTCATCGGTCACAATTTCATATCCCAATGCCACACCCACATAGTAGCTGTTATTTCAGTTTGTGGTGCCCACATTATTAGTCACGAAGAATTAATTTCTTACATTCTTTTAGAAAATACTTTTTTTCTTATTATCAAATTTTATTATCAATATTTTAGGAAATGATGCAGGAAAAACAACTTTTCAGTCATCAGTTAGATGAAAGAACAAGAGAAGTCTACCAACTGGAGGAAGAACTCAAGCAAACCAAACATTATCTAAAGCAGAATCAGAATCTTGCAGAAGAAATGAAAAGTAAGTTGCATGACTGTTTGTTTTCACTTTTATGGTGAGTCAGTGGGGTTAAGTGACTTGCCCAGGGTCACACAGCTAGTAAGTGTCAAGTGTCTGAAGTCGGATTTGAACTCAGGCCCTCCTGATTCCCAGGCCAGTGCTCTATCCATTGCGCCATCTAGCTGTCCCTGAATGACTGTTGTATTTGGTATCTAAGCTGTTGTTTTCACTAAGAGAAGACACAAATCTTTGAATATCCTGGAGATATTCAAATTGTTAAACTATAAAATTGTAAATTGTTAAAGTTTGCCTTGGGACAATGGTCTTGGTTTTTGGTTAGGAGTAGGGAAGAGAATGAGACATCGGTGCACATATTTACATGTAATTTATTTAAACAATTTATGTTATGACAGTTGGGATTATTTTAAATTAACTATCCCCAAATGGTTGATTTGTAGTTCTTTGAAAGCAAAATGGTAAAATCTTCCAAACATAACTATATCATCAGTATATCACTTTCCCCATGATACTGTTTTTTTTATGTCTCAAGTGTGTTAGTTATGCTAACGCTGTTCATTTCATCTTTCATTACGATTTTTCTTATGAATATTGGAAAAATCAAATCAATACTATTTTTTATTGATTTCATTCTGTATCACTGTGTGCTATTTTTGTAACTGCCTAAGTCATGTTTCATTTGTCTTAGAGTTAAGTTTGGATATCCAGCTTTCCTGTAAATCATTCATTGTCTCTGAGCTAAGTTTAGAGGTTGAGATCTCTCTCCTGCTAATCACTGTTCTATTCTTGTGTCAAAGAAATCTGTTATCCTTGAAGGATGCAGGTGAATGCTAAGGAATCTAGTCTATTATCCAAGGGAGTCTTATCACTAAACTGTCCTTGCAGGTGGAATCAAACAATGAACTTTCTTAGCGACAAGATAGAAGGAGGGGTTGTTTCTAATCCCTCATTCCTAATTTCCAGTCAGTCATTTTGTTCATCATAGTCATGATACTTCAGATTGTATAACTAATCATATTGTTTTCCCCATTTATGATACTATAAACTTTATAACTAATCATACTGTTTTCCCATCTGTGATGCTGCTTTCTATTCTAGATCTTTATAGAAAAGTCTCCTCCTTTTGTCTATAAAAGAAAGCTGTCCTTCTCATTAGGTGTCTTTTGGCTTGTTGAGAAGCTGAGAGACTCCTTTTATGGTAATTGCTAGCCTTACCAATAAATTGAATGCGCTCAGAACTTTGTGCCTCAGTTTACCCTAATTTTGATTATAACACTTATAACCAACTTTTATTTGACTGTGTTGTTTCCCAAGCCCTCAATGACCATTTTCTTAGATTTCCTATTTGGTTGAATGATTTTTGCAGCCAAATAATGTTCCCTTAATCACATCCGAAATTACAAATTTTTGCATGTCTAGTTTTGCCATACCTTGTTCATTATACATATTTTTATTTGCTTACCTCATATTTACTGATTAAGGGATTATATTTTTCTATGAGCTTCATAATACTTATCATTTTAACTATTCTTTTTTTTGGGGGGGGTTAGGCAGTAGGGTTAAGTGACTTGCCTAAGGTCACACAGCTATGCGTCTGAGGCCAGATTTGAACTCAGGTACTCCTGAAACCAGGGCCGGTGCTCTATCCACTGCGCCATCTAGCTGCCCCTCATTTTAACTATTCTGAATTCAAATGATTTCATTCCTTAGAAGAACTTTTCATCTTCACTGTTTTCAAGACAACAGGTGGTATAAATATCAATTATCTCTTGTTTTCCTCATGGAAAACTAAAAGGAAAAGAAACTCTTGTAGATTGCCATTACCATTTCCAAAAATAGACTGAAGTGGTGTCATGCGTCAAAGACTTCTTACCTCACTTTTCCCAGCTGCAAAATATAGATTATTTGGGGCTGATAGAGGAGCTTCCCTTCATTGTAGTTGGTTTGTATTTTCAGGTGCCATGTTAAGATTTGTTGTTCTTGGGTTGTTTTTCAGTTATATCTGACTCTTCATGAACCCATTTGGGATTTTCTTTGTAAAGATACTGGAATGGTTTGCCATTTCCTTCTTCAGCTCATTTTCTAGATGAGGAAATAGTGACAAATAGGGGTAAATGGCTTGCCCAAGGTCATACAGTGTCAGAGGCCAGAGTTGAACCTTTGAAGATGAGTCTTCCTGACTACAGGCCTGGCACTCTATCCACTGTGCCATCTAGCTGCCCCTAGGTTATGATAACAGTATGCTGTATGTTTGAAATTATGTTTGTTCTGAGTAGTTATAGGTGAATCTAGCAGTTTCTTTCTCAGAATGGCAAGGACAGTATTAACCTTTCAAGTTATTAAAAAAAAAAAGCCCAAAAAGATTATGGGAACAATTTGCATTAGGAAATGGGGGGTAGTCCCTCTTTAGCTTTGCTGTGGTCTCAGTTTGTTTCTTTGTCAGTGACTTATATAGTTAAATTTGCTGAAAAGGAAGAATGATAAAACTTTCAAGCACATTGAGAAGGAATGATTCCCATACGTATATTCCAGTGTTATTTTCTATATTGTTTGAAAGAACATTCACTACCTGATCTCTAATAAATAAGTTTCCTTCTTAAAGTATATAAACCCAAAATAATGAGGAGTTCAAATTAGTCTAATAAGGTTTATAAGTAGTTGGTAATTAACTGTAATCTGGCTTATTTATTGTCCTGTAGATTATAATTAATTAAAACATTATGTTTTTTAGATAAGAATGCCATTCAAGAGGAAGCTTTAAAAGATCTTCAAGAAAAAATAAATCAACAGGAAAAATCTTTGACTTTGGAGAAACTGAAGCTTGCAGTGGCTGATCTAGAGAAGCAACGGGATTGTTCTCAAGATCTGCTGAAAAAAAGGGAACATCATATTGAACAGCTAAATGATAAGTTAAGTAGAACAGAGAGAGAATCAGAGGGATTACTGAGTACCTTGGAATTAAAGAAGAAGGAATGTGAAGAACTAAAAAAAGAGACAACTCTATTTTCTCAGTGGAAAAATGAGAAAGAACAACTTTTGAATCAGCTTTTATTGGAAAAGGAAGGCTTGCAAAGCAAAATTAATCATTTGGAAATATGTCTGAAGACTCAGCAGATGAAAAATCATGATGCCAATGAAAGCTTCAAAATAATGGAAACTGAAAAAGAAAACTTAGGCTTGGAGATCAGAAACCTTCAGAATGCAATGGAAGGAAAAAATGTAGAATTAGAAGCACAGAAAAGAGCTTATGATGAACTCCAGCTAAAAGCTGAATGCTCAGATAAGAAATATAAAAAGGAAATAGAAAATCTGTCTTTGAAAATAGTTCAGGTAACTGAGGAAGTTGAACATCTGAAACAAAAACTACAGTTGATGTCCAATGAAATGCTGGGGAAAGATCAGCGTTATGAAGAATTGTGTATACAATATGAAAGGATCAATAGTCTAGTGAAATCTAGAAATATTTCTCAAGTGACAAGTGATGATCGCTGTCAGGATCTTTTGATTTTAGATCAGCCAGTTTTGAACAATTCTTTTACAAATATACTTGAAATTCAAGGAAGCCTACCTTTAAAGGGGGGAGATCAGAACAGAAAATTGCATTTAGAAGACCAGAATGTAAAAAGTACAGCTGTAGTACAACATGAAGTTTCTTCATTTGAGCTTCCGATAGAGTCTCCAAAGAAGATGAATTCAGAATTACAAAAACATTGTGAAGAGTTGGTGCAAATCAAAGGTGAAATAGAAGAAAATATGATTAAAGCAGAGCATATGCATGAAAGTTTTGTAGATAAGCAGTTTCAAATGTTGCATGAACGACGGGAATCTGGACAAGCAGAAATTGAAGATTTAAAAATCAATAACCAATTACTTGAAGAGTCAGTAAAGGAGCTGCAGTTGATGTCTGAAACCCTGAGTTCTGAGAAAAAGGAAATTAATTTAGTTCTCTTTCCAAACAAGAAAGAAATTGAAGAACTGATGCAAGAAAATAGGAATCTCAAGGAAATTAATGCAATTTTAAATATAGAAAAAATGAACTTAATGCAAAAAAATTTCAATTTTTCAGACTGCTTAATTGAAAAGGAGAAAAATATTTCAGAGCTATCTGATAGAAACAAAGAGGAAGAGTCTCTTTTGGTAAAGAGATGTGAAGAAGCTGAAAAAGGACTTGAACTTCTCAAAGAAAAATATAAATTAATGCAGGAAAAGAACACTGAATTGGAATGTATCTTAAGTGAACACACTGCTAGTCTTTGTGGAAACAGAAATAATGAATTGAGAGACTTGGAAGGAGCTTTTGCAAGAGAACGTGAAGATTATGTAGGCAGGCTAGCCCTAGCTGAGGAAAAAAATGAGAAATTAATTCTTGAGATGGAGACAGTACAGTGTGGACTGAGAGATGAGATTGCAGCTATTCAAAATAGTTCGAAGATTGAAGCTGATGGCTTACGACAAGAAATTTCAAATTTCAAGTGTGAAAAAAGTATAATACAAGAACAGTATGATGTCTTGCTGCAAGAGAATGATAGATTGATGAAATTAGTTAAGACAAAAGAGGTGCAAAGGAATGAATTGGTTCTTACTGGCAGCCCAGCTTCAGAACACATCAGTGAGTCTTTAAATGAAAATGGGAATGAATTAGATAATTTTAAGATGGTTCAAGTTAAAATGCTTCATATGAATCTTGAAGCTAAAAATAGTTCTTTAAATACTTATAATGCACAAATGGCACAACTTGAGGAAGTCATTGAACATATGGAACTAAGACTTAAGGAAAGTGAAAAGGAGAAAGAGGTCTTACAGCAAGAATTAGAAGTGATTAGAAAGGAGTTAGAAGCTAGGGATTCAAAGGTAATGGAAAATAAGCAATATGATCAGTCATTTGAAACCAACAACTATGAGGACGGCAAAAGAGAAATGGATGAAAAGTATGTTTCAGTTCTACATGAACTATCAACAAGCCAAAATGATAATGCACAACTAATGGCTTCATTGCAGACAGCAGTAAATAAGCTAAATGAGTTAGAGAAGATGTGTGAGATTCTACAAATTGAAAAGTTAGAACTAACATCTGAACTTAATGATTCAAAATCAGAGTGTATCTTAGCAACTACCAAAATGGCAGAAAAAGTAGAGAAACTAGTAAATGAAGTTAAAACACTAAATAATGAAAATGACCTTCCTGGTGATCTTACTGAAGAGACTGATAAATATGAATTTGGGGGGAAATGTAATGAACAAAAGTCTATTTGCTTAAAACTTCTAGAGGGCAGTATCGAAGATGGTGGCGACTATGAACATTTGAAACTGTCAAACAAAGAAGTTCAAATGCATTTTGTTGAATTACAGGAAAAATTTTCATCTTTACAAATTGAGCACAGAATTTTACATGAACAGCATTGCTGCATGAGCTCTAAGTTGTCAGAACTACGTTCTTACACTGACACACTAAAGGCTGAAAATTCTGTATTGTCAATGAATCTTAAAAACCTACAGACTGATTTGATGAAGCAGTGCACTCCTGTTAAAGAAGAATTTGTACTGGAAGAGGGTGACTCTTTATCGTCCTCTTGCATGAATGAAACCCCCAATCTTGCAAGTTTTGTGGAATCTTCTTTTTATAAGGACTTATTTGAAGAAACAAGAGCAATATCTTCTTTGAACAGTTTGGAAGAGAATATTTTAGACAATCAGTCCAGTGCTAATATAGATGAAGCCCCTTGCAGCAGTCCTGTGGTAGACTGCATGACTAAGAGAACTGTTAGATCTGATCCCACATTGAATATTGAAGAACTTGAGACACTTTGCCAAACTTATCAGATGTCACTGAAGGATCTTGCAGACAAATATCAAAGTCAAGAGATTATGAAAGATAAAGAGATTGAAGAGCTTAAACAACTCATAGGTTCTGAAAGGAGAGAGCTAGAATCTCTCAGAGAGCAGTATTTATCAGAAAATGAACAGTGGCAACAGAAGCTGGCAAGTGTGACTGTGGAAATGGAGTCAAAGTTGGCAGCAGAAAAGAAACAGACTGAGTACTTATCACTTCAGCTTGAAGTAGCAAGACTTCAACTTCAAGGTCTTGATTTAAGTTCCCGTTCATTCCTTATTGCTGGAGGTGACGATGTAAGTATGTTCAACAAGCTTTTTTTCCTGTACTTTAGCTACTGATGTTCAAAGGAAAAAAGGCATTATATTACATTAAATCCAGCATGATGATGAAAGGTTTCCTAAATATTAAAATAAACCAGTTAAATTCTTATATAAAGCTTGTTAATAAACTACATTACTACTTCAGGAAAACAAATTAATTCTTGGTTTTAGCAAATTACTACAGTGATTGGCATTATCACAACCATACTGTATATGCAACTATTGATGGTGACTGCTTTTTAGCGATATTATAATGTTGGAACACGAGCTTGAATGAATGAATACATATTATTCACCACTCATGAGGTAGTGATTGTATAGGCATATCCTGTCCAATATTGTTAATTGGTTCCATGATGATAAGTCTTGGATTTTAAGTGATGTAAATTATTTGGAGCTTAAAGGAGTTAATTCTTTTGGGGATCATTTGCTAGATCACATCAACAGTGATTACTTAACGTGTGTTCTAGTTAACTGGTTAAACATTAAGATTTTTTTTATATTTTGTGTGAATTTGATTAAAAAATACTAAAGACATATTTGTTAAATGATACTGTTTAACAATGTTAGTAAATATGTGTTTGATATAAATCTGACATGAAAATACAAAGTTAATGTGATGGAGTTGACTCCTGTGACTTTTCAGGAAGAATGTTATATTTTAGTATTACAGCAATTAAAAAAGTATTCCTTATAATTAGTACATGTGTTTGAAACTTTTGGCCTGGTAACTTACTATGACATATCTGATTTAGTTCTACCTGCTTAAAACATACCTTTGCTTCATTGAACAATTATTCAGATATATTTTAATTTTTAGATACATTTTAATCATTCATTTTTGTTTCAAGTAGCTAAAATCTTTCAAAAAGAAAAAAAGCTAAGCTACATTAATACTTACCAAATGAAAGCTGAGTAGGTTGGAATTTACCTGCCATTTTTTGGCAGGAAAAGGGAAGTTTTATATTTCTACTATTAATGTTTCAAGCCTCCTACCCCAAAGTATTTAATATAGATAGGTTATAATTATCTACCTTACACCAAAAATAACATTTAAAATGATTGCTTTGACACTTCTAATGGAGAGTTGAGGACCAGTTTGGAAGGTAAGTAGGAGGAAAGTTGCATTTTAACCTTCTTTATTGTGGAAAAATACATCTGGAAATTAATTTCTAGTCTACTTCTATATTTCTTTGTGATAAACAAGATTTTTTTTTCTTATTGGTATTGTGTAATTACAGGCAATTAGGAATGACCAAGAAAACAGTGTCTCAGATAACTCAGAAGAACATATTTCATTCACTGATGAAAAGATAATTAAGAGTGACACACTACACGTTTGTGAAGAAAATGTTCAACAAACCTTACATTTGGAGTATGAGAAAATAGCTGAAATTGATGGTGTCGGCTCTGCAGTGGTATATTCTAGGAAACTGAACTTAGAAAATGAACATAGAAATTCATCAGATAAAACCCCAACCAATTCTGAATGCATTAATGAATTATCATTTTCTAGTAATGATACTTCAGCAGCTATGGATTTCCTGGAGAATCAGGTGCTCATTCAGAATCTACAAATGCAGGTGAAAGAAACTTCAAAGGAAAACTTGAAGTTACTCTGTGGCATAGAGCAAAGTAATAAAAAAGTTGATAGATTGCTCAATGAAATTAAAGAATTAGACTCCAAGCTGGATTTACAAAAAGCTGAATTAACTGCTAAGATATGCTTGTGTTCAGAATTAGAAAAAGTCATTCAGGAACTTCAAAAAGAAAAATCAGACTTGAGTGAGAAATTGGAATCCCTCTCTTATGATAATCAGCGATTACTTCAGAGGGTGACATCTTTGGAAAACTTAAATTCTGGTTCAAGACCATGCAAAGTTATATTCACAGACACTACAGATATTGAAGATAATCTAGCAATGGTGAATAAAGACTGAAAGAACAATTTCTTGAAATAGAAAATGAATTGAAGCGGGTAAAATCTGAAAAGATTAATATTGAGAATCATGCCTTTTCCATTGAAGCTGACTTGGAAGGCCTTCAAACAAAGCATCTCTGTTTAGAAAAAGATAATGATAATAAACAGAAAATGGTTTCCAATCTTGAAGAACAACTTTCTCTGGTTATATCTGAGAAAAGCCACCTTAGTGGAGAACTAGACATTCTATTAAGGGAAAAAATGCAAGTAGAAGAAATATGTGAAAAATTGAAGGAAAAAATTGAAGTGTTGGAGTCAAATCAAAGGGAATCCCTGCAACATATAGAAATAATGGAGTCTCAGGTAAGAGACAAAACACAACTCCTTCAGACCATGTCATCTGATGTAAACCAACTGATAAAAGACAAAGATCATCTCCAAGAGCAGCTTCAAAGTGTAGAGAAGGATACACAGATACTTAGTTTGGTAAAAGATGGCTTGAAAAATGAAATTGATCAATTGATCAATGAGAAAGAGCTTCTTATAAGAGAATCAGAAAACCTGAAAACCAAATTGAATGAATCAGAAGCAGAAAATGTAAACCTTTCTAAGGTTTTAGAGAGTTCTCTAATTGAAAAAGGTGAGATTGCAGCAAGATTGAATTCAACACAAGAAGAAGTATGTCAGCTGAGAAGTGGCATAGAAAAACTAAAAATCCGCATAGAGGCTGATGAAAAGAAAAAATACTACGTTTTAGAAAAGCTGAAGGAAAGTGAACGCAATGCTGACTCGTTTAAGGACAAAATTGAAGCACTTGAAAGAGAATTGCAGATGTCAGAAGAAAATCAAGAAGCAGTGATTCTTGATGCTGAGAATGCAAAGTCCGAATTAGAAACACTGAAAACACAAATGGAAGAGTTAACGAAAGGCCTAAAATGTTCAGAATTGGAATTATTTGCCTTAAGATCAGAAAAAAATATGTTGAATGGATTACCAGAAAATCAGTGTCAGCAGTCTGAATTGGAAGGGTTGACGGAGACCATAAAATGTTTAGAAACAGAAATTATTGCTTTAAGGGCAGAAAAAGAAAATATATTGAAAGAATTACAAGAAAAGCAAGGTCAGGTGTCACAATTGGAACAGTTAGCCCAAAGTTTAAAATTTGTTGAAACTGAAGTTTTTTCTCTAAGGTCAGAAGAAGAAAATGTAATGAAAAACATGCAAGGAAGTAAAGGTCAATTGTCTGAATTAGAAAAGTTGACTCAAACCTTAAATTGTTTAAAATCAGAGCTTGTTGCTTTAAGGTCAGAAAAAGAAATTATTTTGAAAGAACTACAAGAAAAAGAAAATAGAGTGACTGAATTAGAAGAGTTGACCCAATCTCTAAAGTGTTTGGAAACTGAAGTTACTTCTTTAAGGTCAGAAAAAGAAAATATATCAAAGGAATTGCACAAAAAGCAGAGTCAAGTGTCTAAATTAGAAGAATTGACTGAAACCTTAAGATGTGCAGAAACTGAAGTTGTTTCCTTACGGTCAGAAAAAGGCAAAGTATTAAAAGAACTGCAAGAAAATCAAGATCAAGTATATGAATTAAAAGAATTGACTGAAAGCTTAAAATGTATAGAAACAGAAGTTGTTGCCTTAAGGTCAGAAAAAGAAAATATATTGAAAGAATTAAAAGGAAAGCAAGATCAAGTTTGCCAGTTAGAAGAGTCGATCAAAACCCTAAAATGTTTGGAAACAGAAGTTGTTTTCTTAAGGTCAGAAAAAGAAAGTACACTGAGAGAAGTACAAGAAAATCATTATCAAATCTTTGAATTAGGAGAATTAGTCCAAATACTAAAATGCTTAGATTCTGAACTTATTAGCATAAGGTTAGAAAAAGAAAATGTTTTGAAAAACTTACAAGAAAGACAAGATCGAGTGTCAGAATTAGAAGAGCTGATCATTAGCTTTAAATGTTTGGAAACTGAAGTTGTTTCCTTAAGGTCAGAAAAAGAAAAAATGTCAAAGGAGTTACAAGAAAAGCAGAGTCAAGTGTCTGAATTAGAAGAATTTACCCAAAGTCTAAAATGCTTAGAATCTGAAGTTGCTTCTTTAAAATCAGAAAAAGACAATATGTTGAAGGAACTGCAAGAAAAACAGGATCAAATTTGTGAATTAGAAGAAATGAACATGAGCGTAAAATGTTTGGAAACTGAAGTTGTTTCCTTAAGGTTAGCAAAAGAAAACATGTCAAAGGAGTTAAAAGAAAAGCAGAGGCAAGTGTCTGAATTAGAACACTTGATCAAAAGTCTAAAGAGTTTGGAAACTGAATTTGCTTCTCTAACATCAGAAAAAGAAAATCTGTTGAAGCAGTTGTGTGAATTAGGAGAGTCAACTAAAAACCTAGAATGTTTGGAAAATGAAGTTGTTTCTTTATCATCAGAAAAAGAGCACATTTTGAAAAAACTACAAGAAAAGCAGGGTCAGGTGTCTGACTTAGAAGAGTTGACCAAAAGTCTAAAGTCTTTGGAACCTGAAGTTGCTTCTTTAAGGTCAGAAAAAGTAAACATGTTAAAGGAGTTGCAAGAAAAACAAGATCATATTTGTGAATTAGAAGAGATGACCATAAACCTAAAATGTTTGGAACCTGAAGTTGCTGCTTTAAGGTTAGAAAAAGAAACAATGTTGAAAGATTTACAAGAAAAGCAGGATCAAATTTGTGAATTAGAAGAAATGAACATAAACCTAAAATGTTTGGAAACTGAAGTTGTTTCCTTAAGATTAGCAAAAGAAAACATGTCAAAGAAATTAGAAGAAAAGCATAATCAAGTGTCTGAATTAGAACACTTGACCAAAAGTCTAAAGAGTTTGGAAACTGAACTTGCTTCTCTAACATCAGAAAAAGAAAATCTGTTGAAGCAGTTGTGTGAATTAGAAGAGTCAACTAAAAACCTAAAATGTTTGGAAAATGAAGTTGTTTCTTTATCATCAGAAAAAGAACACATTTTGAAAGAACTACAAGAAAAGCAGGGTCAGGTGTCTGATTTAGAAGAGTTGACCAAAAGTCTAAAGTCCTTGGAACCTGAGGTTGCTTCTTTAAGGTCAGAAAAAGAAAACATGTTGAAGGAGCTACAAGAAAAACAAAGTCACATTTGTGAATTAGAAGAGATGACCATGAGCCTAAAATGTTTAGAAGCTGAAATTGCTTCTTTAAGGTCTGAAAACAAAAACATGTTAAAGGAATTGCAAGAAAAGCAGGGTCAAACATCTGAATTAGAAGAGATGACCAGAAAGCTAAAGTCCTTGGAAACCAAATTTACTTCCTTAACATCAGAAAAAGAAAACATGTCGAAGCAATTGTGTGAATTAGAAGATTTGAAAAGAAACCTAAAATGTTTGGAAACTGAAGTTGTTTCCTTATCATCAGAAAAAGAAAACATTTTGAAAGAACTACAAGAAAAGCAGGGTCAAGTGGCAGAACTGAAAATGTTAAATGTTTCATTTGAAAGCCTACTGGAAGAAAAAGAAGAAGAAAAGAGAAAATCTAAAGAAGAATCTAACCATACAATAGAGTTGCTTCAAAAACAGTTGAATGATCTAAATGAGAAAATAGAATCCTTACATGAAGAGCATAACATATGTAAGGTCAATGAACATGATCTAAATTGTCAAGTGGATTCTCTAAAGAATGAGAAAATTCATTTGCTGCAGCAGCTTGAAGAGAAAAAAAATAATAATGCTGTGCTGAAATCTTCTATGAATGACTTTATTCAAGAAATGGAAAACAACAAACAAAAATTAGAGAAGGCAATGGAAGAAAGCAGAATACTTCAGAAAGAAGTTGAAAACCTCAGAAAGCTCTCCTCTACATTGACCCAGATGGAGGCAGAGCAGCAACTCCTGGAGAAAGAAAAATCACAGCTGGAAAATCTTACAGTAGAATTACAACAAAAGATCCAAGAATTATCCAAGAATGAGACTTTGTATGACAGTTTAGAAGCTCTACAAAGTTCTTATGCCAATCTGGAGAATGAACTTGAGTTGACAAAGAGGAAAAACTCATCTCTTCTTGAAAAGGTAAATTATGAAAAAGTGAAAAATGCTATTTGCAGCTTTGTAGATGCTATATTCCATAAGATTTTTTGAGCAAATGCTTTGAAAATCCTTAAATACTATATAAATATTGCTGTTATTTTGAATAATAATAAGTGGAAAGATAGTCTTGGAATTTTCAAATTGCAAACTAGTATATATAATTTTAAAATTTTGTTTAGACCTTGGATTATATTGGTCTAGGGAGCTCCCAGTATGGAAATGTCCGCCAAAGCAGATGGTAACCTTTTTGCAGCTTCTAGTCTTATAGGGTTTCAGGAGGCTATTGAAAGGTTAAGTGACTTGCCCGGGTTAATGTGGTCAATATATATCGGAGGTAAGGCTTGTTAGTCATCCTGACTGCCCTGCCATCTATCTACTACCTTGCTGTCTCATGTTTATAATAATAGGTCATCACGATATTGTGATCCATATTCATATGTTTTCAAAGTATGAGGGGCTGGAGAGCTATTGAGGATTATGGGTGTTATCTGCTCTTGATGTCTAGTAATATCTACTGTTGACATCTAAGAGAATTATGTTAAAATTTAAATTAATCAGAACACTTGATGCATTATTTTGCTTTTTAGAGAGACACAAATTATAAGACAACTAGTTATCAGATGTATGTTTTAGTATTAGGATTTTTTTTGCCCTATTAGACCTTCTGCTTTCACAAAATTTTGTCATAAAAATTAATATTCAGAGGACCTTGGGTTCATGATCCTTAATCATCTAAGAAACATTGTGTTCAATATATTTTTATTATTAAAGCAAGAAAGGAGGTTGATTATATTTACATAGAGATTTATTTCCAGCCTTATTTCACACTATCCCTTTCGTGCTTTCTGTGTTTTAGCCAGACTGAACTGTTTCCAGATGGATTCTTATTTGTATCTGTCCTTGCGTTCGATTTCCTTTGTATTTTTACCTGTTGAAATCTTACTTCAATGTTCAACTCTGTGTTAGCACTTCCATAATAAAACTTTTGTCAGTGTGACCTTTCCCTCCCAATTCCCTTCTACCATACACACCCCTTTGCTGGAGGCAGCTGTTGGTAGAGTCCTGGGACTGGAGTCAGGAAGACCTGAGATCAAATTTGGCCTAAGATACTAGCTATGTGACCCTGGGCAAAGTCATTTAGCCTCTGTTTGTCTCAGTTTCTTGTACAGTAAATTGAAAATAAATCATCTACTTCTTAGGGTTGTTGTGAGGATTAAGTGAAATAATATTTGTAAAAAGCACTTAACATAGTGGCTGGCATGTAATAGGAGCTATATAGATGTATTCTTTTGCTTTCTTTCTACCTTGCTGGAAGTATTCCTTACTTCCTTATATTTTTAATAGCATTTTTCTTTTTAATCTCCCCTTACTTTTTTTACATTCTTCTTTACAACCTACTTTCTTGTGTAAATGTTTCTTTGACCCCCTAAAATATTGTAAAGTACTTGAAAACAAGGCTATATTGTTTTTCATTTTTATGTTACCAGTGACTAGCACAGTGCCATGGATGCACAGTAGACATATAATAGTTTTTCCCCCGTAATAGCAAGGGTTAAAACACACAATAGTAAATCAGAAAATTTACTTATGCAGAACAGTCCTTTTTATTAAAGTACTTTGGGGCTTTTTTATACTGTTAGCCTGAGATAGCTGTTATTTTAGAGATGATTAAACTCTTTCATCTTAAAGCTAAGTGTACATAAAAGTAGCACTCTAACAGGTTCTAGCAAGGATGCTTCTTTTAGATAGCATATAATGGGGATTAGCATGAATCTAGACCTGATCAAATCCAAGAATCTGTTTCATACATTATTTTTTCATATCCTTTTCCTAAATGTTGCTTAGGTTTTAATTCGTAATAGTATGTTTGTGAAAGATTTGAAGACTTGGTAGTATCCTTTGACCTTATCCCTCTCTGTTGTTTTCTGTTAAATCTTCACTGCAAAGGAAAGAATGCTTTCGTGGATGTTGAAAATTATTAGGATGGTTTAATGAGGTGAGAATTTATCAAGTTACATTGCATTTTGAAGGCTAAAGTAATTACCCAGAATATGTGGTAGAGAAGTAGTTAATTTGGTTAAAAATCCACATGTCAGCTAAACAATATCTGGGAGGTTAATAAAAAATTCTATTTCAGATAAATAAAGTGACAGATAATGAATCTCTGCTAAAGAAGGAAATGAATGAGATGATGCAAAAGATGACATTGTTGCAAGAAGAATATACTGGAGAGAAGAACAGGCTTACTGATGATGTAAAAAGTAGAGAAGCAGAAGCAGAGAAGAGGAAAGTAAGTTGCTCTCTGAAATAGTGACTACATTTAAATGATTTCAAATTAATAAAGCCACCTTTGTTATTTAGGAGGCCTTGTATGGTATATTGAACATCTTTGAAACCTTTGCTTTCAAATACAGTGATATCTAATCCATCTAGTAATCAGACTTCATCTTCTCCTTTTAAAAAATGGAGATAATGGTATCTCTCAGATATGCTTAAAAGAGTTCTTGTGAGGCTCAAATGAGGTAATGAGTATAAAGTGCTTTGTAAATCTTAATGTTGTGGATAAGTATCACCTACTGAGTGGCTGTTATTTTTATTATTTACTATTCATCCCCTCTAGAAGGCTAGGAGAAGTAAATGAAAGAAGGCTTAGGAATAGCCAAATAAGTGTTCAGAAGATCATGCGTGAAATAAAGCCCAGTAATTCTTAGAGGAGTCTTGATTGATAAGACATTTTATTTTTCACACAATTTCAGTAATCAATTAGCAAATTTCTCTGCTTAATTCAGGTTAAAAGCTAGGGTACTATGAGGGGTAGACACAGAGGTCACTGACAGTGAAGGAGAAAAAGACAGCTATGAAAGTACTGCTTTTTAGAGTTATTTATTTTAGGGGCAAGTAGTTGTACATACATAATACAGCTTCTAAGAGCAATTCTGGTGTTTATAATGACCTCGAGTCATCCTGAAAAGTTTAAAATTATATTTAGACAAGTATATAAAACATTTTTATGTAGGCTTTCAGTTTAAAATGTTTGAGAATTAAAATGTGTTAGAGTGTTAAGATTATCTCAGAAATTTCCTTATTTGGGGCCACTAATTCTCTGACAGTGTCAAGTTCCTGCAAAAAGACACAATTTGAAAGGAAGTTGAATTAGCTTTTCAGTTTTCTAAGTTCACTGAAGTTTCTGAACTTTGAACATATCAGTATATATTATTATTTCAGTTATTCAAAGCCACTAAGAAGAAATAACTAAGATGTCAAGGTAGATGATGAACATTAAATTGAAGAAAATTATCCATGGCTCACTAATATAGCCATATTGCTTTCATGTTTATTTAGCTAACAGCTTCCTCTGGTGCATACTTAAAATAATGTAAAAATATTGTGTTGTGATATATTAATTGACATGTAATACTAGTTCAGGTTTAATATCATTTTTTAAAAATTGTAACTATAACATACTATTTGATTCTATTCATGTTCCTAGATAATTTTTCCCCCTTCAGAACTTAACATTTCGTGAGCATTTACTTATGTTTTTTCATTTTTTAAAAAAAGAAAATAAAAAGTTTTATCAAAAAATGATAAAATGTTCAAACATTTTTGCGTTTAGATACAACTGGATGAGCTAATCCTGGAAAAGTGTGAACTGAAGAAGAGTTTGGATTGTGTACAAAAAGAGCTGAAGGAAAGAGAAGAGACAGCAAGAAATGAAATATCAGATTATCAGTGTAGGCTTCAGGATGCCAATAAGAAATGTGAAACTTTACTCAAGGAAGCAAACAAAAAGGTAAAAAGCTTCATTTAGGGGGATATGACATATACAGAGAACTGTGGCCTAACCCCTTCTGCGGTGATAGAGTAATACTATTGCTTTCTATTATAGTATTCTGTGGAAGTTATAGAGAGACAGATTTAGTCCTGTGTAGGTAAAAACTTCCTTATAATCAAAGCCGTCTAAAAATGAAGTGGATTGGTCACTTTCCTTATTACAGGTCTCCAGTTAAACCTGGATAGCTACTTGTTTTTGTTTTTTAATTTTATCATTTTTCCAGCTAACAAATGTGTATAGTCAAGTCGTACTGGCCAAGTTATCCTATTGGCCAAGACCAAAAAAATGTGTTATTTTAACTCATTGTTTTAACTCTGCCATCTCTGAAAAGAGCTGGCTTGTGTGCTTCATCTTTGTTCTTGTGAAATTGTGGTTTGTCTTTACGTTAATCAGAATTCTAAAGCCCTTTAAAGTTGTTTTTTTAAAAAATAGCATAGTTTTTGTGTAAGTTATTCTCACTTCACTCTCTGTTATATTAGTTCATAGGAACCTTCCCAGTTTCCTCTGAAAATGTCTTATTTCATCATTCTTATGGTGCAGTAAGAGTATATTCACATAGCATAATTTGTTGAGGTCTTCTTCACTTCTTCAAAAGGTCAGCACACCCCCTTAATTTCCAGTTTTTGCTGCTGTAAAAGGAAGTGCTATAAATATTTGTGTACATGTGGATCCTTTTCCACTTTGATCTCTTTGCGGTATATGCCTAGTAGTGGTATAACTGAGCATAGCTCTAAATTGCTTTCTGGAGTGGCTTTAACAACTGTTCCATGAGTGGGTCATTAGTGTGCTTATTTTACTGTAGCTGCACCAACATTTGTTGTTTTTCTTTGTTGTCATCTTTGCCACTCTGATGGGTGTGAGGTAGAATCTCAGAGTTGCTTTAATTTTAATTTCTCTAATTATTTGTAATTTGGAGCATTTTTTTCACATGGCTTTAATTTCTTCCCTTGAGAACTGCCTGTCCACATTTTTTGACTTTGATAAATGTCCTTCGTTTGTTTTGTTTCTTGGATATGAAGAGCTTCAGCAGATAAAGGTATTTTTCCAGTTATTTCTTTTCTAACTGCTTTTATTTGTGCAAAACCTTTTAAATTTATGTAATAAATTTAATATCTATTAAAGATTAATATCCATTAAAAGATAAAATATCCATTGTATCTTTTGTGATCCCTTTTATTTCTTTTATTATGATTTTTTCCCCTATCCATAGATTGAAAAGGGAATTTCTTTTTCATTCCATTCCTCTTATTTACTTAACAACAATTTAATTCATCTGCCCATTTAGAGTTCAAATTGCTATATATGTGGTGAGGTGTTGATCTATACTAGATTTTTGACAGACTGTTTCCAGTTTTCTAAACAGTTTTTGTCAGATGAGTCCTCAACTTGGTAACTGGAATCTTTGGATATACTACACTCTGCCTGTATTTGCTTGTGTCATGTTGCATACTTAATTTGTCCCATGGATTGATTTATCTATTTTTTTAACCAGTAGAAATCATTTTGATGATTTATGCCTGCCTGCCTCCCTCCCTTCCTCCTTCCCTTCCTCTGAGGCAATTAGGGTTAAGTGACTTGCCCAGGGTCACCCAGCTAGTAAGTGTCAAGTGTTTGCTCTGAGGCTGAATTTGAACTCAGGTACTCCTGACTTCAGGGCTGGTGCTCTATCTGCTGTGTCACCTAGCTGCCCTTTTTTTTTGTAGGATTTATCTTTTTTCTAGCATAGTTTAAGTACTGCTAGGCTTTTCTTGACCACTTCTTTTCATTTCTTCCCTTGAGATTCTTGACCTTTTGGTCCTCTAGATGACTATTGCTGTTACTTTTTTCTAGCTGTATTAGAATAATCCTTTGGTAATTTGATTGGTACATCACTGAAAAAAAATAATTTAGGTAGTATTTGTCTTCTTTATTATATTGGCATGAACTAAAAGCATTTACTCTTTCTTCATTTGTTTAGGTCTGTCTTTATTTCTGTAAAGAGTATTTTATGGTTGGATTCATATAGTTCCTGTGCATGTAGTGATTGATATTCCCCCATATTTTTATAAATTCTGTAAATAATATAAAATTTCCCTTGCAGGAATGCTGATGATTTATGTGTATTTTATACTGGATGACTAGTTTTCAGTGACGTGAGGTCCCTTTTATTTTTGTTTTTGTGAAAGCTTCCTCTACCCCCAGCTTATTCTGTATTACTTATAAAAATACCTTTTGTTGTACCTTTCAGTTTTAATATATCTTTATGTTACTGTATTTATTGTGATAGGAAATTTTCATAGTAGAGCATGTTGTAGACTTGTGAAGACTAATATGGATAGTTAATTCTATTTAATTTATGTCTGGTAAGCCAATTTATGTGTGACTGAAAGTCATAAATATAGATGCTGATGTAATTTTTATATTACTCAATTATCCTTGTAATTTAGTTATACTAGGTCTTCAGTAAAATAAAGATTCTTCAGTAGAGTACTTCTTTGACCTTATCTAAATAGTTGAGTTATAGAAGTTCCAAAAGGAGTGGGCTCTGCCATTGAGCTTATTTTTTAGTCTAGAGCACTAAGAACTATATCAGAGCAAGGTTTTGATATATTTGGCAGAGTTGGGGTTGAGATTAAAGTTAGGACTGGGGAGTACACATATAGAATTTAATTTAAAGGATAGAACTTTAATGTATCAATTACAAAATTTTTTTTGTTGTTTTAATGGTGCCTTCTTTAATTTTTGTTGTTTAGTTCGTTTTTCATGGTTTCCGGATTCCATCACACCCAGATTTGTTGGCTTGTGAAATAGAATAGTGTGATTGGAAGAGTCCTGATTGTGGAGTCAGGTGACCTAGATTTTGGTCCTAATTCTAGTACTACTTAGTTGTGGACTATGGCCAAGTCACTTGTGTTTTCCTGACCTATAGAAACTTAGAGTTGGAAAGAACCTCAGAGCAGAGGTTGTGTAGTCCAGCCTACTATACCTGACAGCCTATAGCTCTACAGTAATTGACAGATGGTCATTAACTCGTGTCAGTGATAGGAAACTTACTGTCTTTCTAGATAGTGAGTACAATTTTGAACAATTTTAATATTTATGAAATTTTCCTGACAGATCAATGTCTCTCTAGCTTTTTTTACCCATTGCTTTTAGGGCTGTAGGAGTCAATGCTAGAAAGAATTTTGTTCATTTTTTCTGATCTTCTCATTTTATAGATGTCGTGAGTAAAATTCCAAGAGACAAAGTTCTGGGTTATAAAAATTAATTTATTAAATAGGCTAGCCAATAATCAATAAATTAATGGTCAATGATTTCTTTCAGTAACCAAAGTCCTCTAGAGAGTCTCTGAAACACCTTAAATCAGGTGTGTACATTCTGGCAGGGTACTTACCTGACAAATGAAACTCAACACTGATTGGAGGACATTTAATGAAGAGGTAGACTAAAAGCTGTCAGCCACTCTCAATCATTTCTGGTCTGTTCATGAGGTATGAGTCTTCTTCAGCAGTCTGGGCACCCCAATTAGGTTCACTCTGGTTTGGTTTCTACTTCATGAGCTGGATCACTCTAACCAGGGGTGGGCAATCTGAGGCCTTGAGGCCACATGTGTCCTTCTAGGTCCTCAGGTGTGGCCTTTTGACTGAGTCCAAGTGTTACAGAACAAATCTTTTTATTAAGGGGATTTGGTCTATGAAATTTGGATTCAGTCAAAGGGCTGCACTTGAGGACCTAGGGGACCACATGTGGCCTCAAGGCCACAGGTTTCCCACTCCTGTGTCTAAGCTCTAATGAAGAGAAGTAAGGATAGGAGCTCTTTCCCTAGGGGAAGGACCTAAACCAAACTGGATCCTGTTTATTGCATAACCCAGATGCCTTGAGCAGAACTTTAATGCTTATGACATTGTTTAGCTAGGGAAGGACTTCTCTTTAAGCTAGTCTTTAGACAGGAAAGAAACGTTACAAATTATTGTTAATAATTAAATGGTACAGCATTAAAATTAATTTCTCTCATAGAGTAGGGAAATTAAGGATGTAGTTAAGTGACCTCTTTAAGGTCACACAAATAAGAAGTTGGGATTTAAAATCAAGTCCTCTGGCTCTGAATCTAGTGATTTTTTTTTAACCTCTCACTGTATCATATTGCTTACTCTTTTTCCAATGTAACAGCTCTTTAAATACCTGCAGATAATCCAATTCCATCCTTCTTCTTCCTTTTGTCATATATCCTTTGACTATTGATTTATTAGGTAATGACTCTTGTTCTGTATCTGTTCCTTATAGATCTTGAATATGAGATCTTTAGATAAATTAGCTACATAAATTTTTGCTGGAGGGATTTTTTTTAGGAGGGATGATAATTGATTTAAGACTTTGGACATCTATGATGAACTTAAAACTGTCTCCTTGAAAAGTGCTTTGCTTTATATGAATTGTTCTTCACATTATTATATAGGTGACATGCTGCTAAGAGGGAACAGTTGTCTGTACATGTCAAATAATGCATTCTTAATGCACTTGAGTGATATATAAGCACATCATGTGAATATTCATATACATGAATTTAGGAATAAACCATGACTGTAGAACTGTGTTAAAATCTTTGTGATAATCAACAAAAGAAGTATATTCTACTTTCTAGCAGTGTATTCAATAACTATTGAGTTAAGAAATTTATTTTTGTACCTTTGGAGTTTTTTGGCATCTCCGTTTTGCCCTTAAGTTTACTCTTAAATGGCAGAGTCTCTTGCCCTTTCAAAGGTACAGATGGCCCTAGATGGTCTATGAGGTGCCTTTAATCTCTAAATCGATGGTCCATTATGACTTTTTTTTTTTTGGATCAGAACTGTGATTTTAATGGCATAGGTAGCCAAGGGATTTTCTTAACCAAGGTAGATTGTCAACTTCTCTTCAAAGTGTAGTCTTAGAGAATATCCTGAAAGGTTAATTGATTTGCCCAAAGTCACACAGCCATTATGGGTTGGAAGTGGGACTTGTTAGGGTCTTCCTAACTCTGAGTGAAGTTTCTATCCACTATACTGCACTGCCTCTCTTAGGATGTATGTTTACTGATAAAATTTGAGTCCAGAGGACGGAAGATGATACATACTAGTCATCTCCTGATAGAGAAGTGATGGACTTCAAATGTAGAATGAGACATACGTTTTTGGATGTGGATAATATGGGAATTTGTTTAATCACAATGTCTGTGTGTGTGTGTGTGTGTGTGTGTTAAAGGGATTTTCTTTTTTTCTTTTTAATTGAATAGGGAAGTGAGAGATTATAAATGTTTGTACATATATATGTATACATTTTGGACATCTCTACCACAATATAGTGATAAAAATTAATTTGTTGAGCAAAAAAAAAAAAGATGTACATTTGCCTGTTTACTGAGTGGGTCCTGAGGTAGAATTTTCTACCTTCACTGTAGAAAGTATAATTGTGAAGCCCAGAATTCTAGGTCATGAAATGTTTTGTTTTGACTGAGATTTTATGTAAACTTGCTCTGCTGAGCTACTTGACCAGTACTGTATTTTGTCTTTCTTAGCATCAAATGGAAATTGAAGCATATCAAGAGAAACTAATTTGTACAGAACAAGATCTCAGTTGCCACAAGTCAGAGATGGAGATTTTAAAGTCCAATAAAGAAGAATTAACTAATTCTCTGAAATCTACTAATAAGATATTAGAAGAATTGAAGAAAACCAAGGTATTTTCCATGATAATGTTCAACCCATATTAAGACGTATATTAGGGGCATTAATGATAAGAGTGACACTAATGAGTATTTGGTTTACATTGAATTTACAGAGTTGAAGTTTAAATGTTTCCCCACTTTTTGCTTTACTTTATAATAACTCATGCTCAGAGATGCTACTATTGTGTGTTGCTGAATTGTGTTGCTGAAGAGACCGATAAATGATTATCTATCTTTTCCAAATTGTGCATATATAAACGTGTTTTGACTGCCTTTCTCCCCGAGTTCCATTGAAAGGGAATTAAGGAGTTGTGGAGATGAATGTGAAGATAATGGACAGAGCTTCCTGATCGATTGCATGTGATATACCAGTAAATCTCATAACCTTATTGCTAATCCTATTACTAAGTCAGTTCCTTCAGTTTCATCCTAGGTGTTTGAGGCTTATATGGAGATAACCAGGTCAGTACCTTGTACTTTCAGCTCTTTCGTATATTTGTGTGTGTGTATATATATGTGTGTGTGTATATATGTATATATATATATATATATATATATATATATATATATATATATATACATGTGTGTTATATATTATATATATACATACATATATATATACATATATATATACACATATATATACATATATATATACATATATATATATACACATATACACACACACACACACACACACACATATACACATATATATATATATATATATATATATATGTGTGGTCCATCATAAGACAGTGGATAAGGTCATGTAATCCTAATCTAGTCATTTTTTAATTGTGAAAAATTTATTATAATAAATGACCCAGTCATCCCTCACCTTTGGAGAGAAGGCTATTGTGAATTAGTCAAGTGGCAGAATTGAATATTAAGAAAAAATTCTTGAAATTTCAGATGTATAAGAATTTAAACCAGAATAATGAGGTATTTTTCTTAAAAATGTTTTTGTGTGTGTGTGTGAGAAAGTGAGGCATTGGGGTTAAGTGACTTGCCCAGGGCCACACAGCTAGTAAGTGTCAAATGTTTGAGGCTGTATTTGAACTCAGGTCCTTTTGACTCCAAGGCCAGAGCTCTATCCACTGCAGCACCTAGCTGCCCCAAAAATGTTTTAAATACTACCTAATTTCAAAGCTAGAAAAGGACCTCACAGGTTATTTTAATCATTAATTGAATAAGAATATTTTCTTAGTGCATTCTTGACAAGTTGTCATCCAGTTTATTTTTGAATAATTACACTTTCATATAGCTTTAAATTTGAGAAAGTTTTTCCTGCTTATTGTTCCTGACTCATGATAATACTATTATTTGGCTTTAAAATGCTTTAAAACTCATTACCCATCAGTATGAGTCTTCCATGTTCTAATATTCCCACTCCTTAGTATATGATTTTGAGTTGTGGCCCAGTGCAGTTCCTCTGGATAGATCATTTGATCCAGATTCTTATGGCAGAGATTTGCTAGACCCCAGGTTTTTATCCCTTCTTCTACTGGTAGTTCAGTACTCAGTGTTCCTTTCCATTCCAACTTGGGCCCTTATGACAAAATAGTCATAGTCTCTTTCTTCACTCCTTACCTATCCCCTCTGACGATTTTCTTGGATTTATCACTGGAAGTTTCATTCATGAGTCATATGTGTTATATAGTTAGTCCAGTGGCGAATATTTAATTTATGTCAAAGAATCATAGATTTAGAGCTAGAAAGGATTGCAGAGGTCTTCTAGTCATCTAGAGCTAAAGGAACACTACTTAAAACTTGTGTCTACCCTCACGTCTTGATATATAGTGTTCTAGCTATTAAATACACCCCAAATGGCATCCTGTTTATAATTCCAGGTGGTGAAATGTTTAGACTTGTGCTGAAGAATAATTTGGAAAAGTCTGCTGGTGTGTTTTTGGATCCTTAGATTTGAACTAAAACTAGTCTTTAAAAGTACAAGATGTCATGGTTCTTGGTGCTTTGTACCATTGGTGAGGTAGCATAGTGGCATACGCTGTGCAGCATAGAAGAAGGTGAACTGGGTGGGAGTGGAGAGACCAAGCTTTGAAGCCTTAGTCACACAATGGTAGTATGCTCTCATCCAACTCACTCATCTGTTAGACTTCAGTTTCCCTGCATTAAATGAATGATGATACTGTCTATTTGGGGTACCCATCTCACAGTCCTGTTGTAAAGGGAGCAATTTGCAAACCATGAAATGTGAGTTTTCATTATTGTTGGAATCCATTGAAGACACTTTCTGTGTGTACAGAGACATTATTTAAGTGTATAAGGTTTTAACTAGAATTGCTTTTGTTTTGTAGGCTGATAATATAAAATATGTAACTCAGTTGAAGAAGGAGAATGAAAATGCTAGAGGAAAAATACAGTTGTTGATCAAAACCTGTAAACAGCTGGAGAATGAAAAGGAAGCATTACAGAAAGAAATTACTGGCCTTGAAGCTCTGCAAGAGAACCAGAAACAAAGTAGCATTAATTAGTGGAGTAATAACCAGAATTCTTTTTCAACAGGGAATGCTCTTACTTTTGAAACATGCTATTATTTGAGACACATGACCCTTTGAGGTATTATTCAATGATACAATAATTCATATTCTTCTGAATTTGTTTTCAAATTTTCTGTCAATTAAGAGGGAACCCCATTTTTCATGTTGTAATAACTATGACCTTCAGATTTAACAAACATTACTAAGGCTTCAATTTGTGCAACTGTTGTACTAGGAACCAACAATGAAAAGCCACATCCTGACTGTCTTTTAAGAAGCTTTCAGCCTACTGGGGGAAACATAGCATGTTTTATATACATATATAGGAAAGTATAATGCACAGTAGAGAGTGATGGATGAGTAAGATAAAGGTTTGTACAAAATATATATTTGAGGAGAGAATCCTCTTATCAAGGGAGACTTCCTTAAGGGATGGAGATTTCAACATGTAAACATGTAGAAGTGAATAAGAAGTATTTTTCAGGTATGGAAGACCACCTGCCCAAATACACAGAGAGCAGACTAAGGTATATGTTGGAAGGAGTAAACTTAGTAACCTTGTTAGCCTGGAACGTAGAGTTCGTGAAGGGAGGCACGGTGATTTGGTAGTGAAAAGTGAGATTGGTTCCAAATCATTTGAGCCTTAAGTAACGCAGCTAAATTATTTGTTGATAACTGCAGAAGGTGTTTGAGCATGAGAATAATGTGGTCAGACCTGTGCCTAGGGAAAATTACTTTGCAAATAATATAGGTAGATTAAAGGAGGTGAGATTGCAGGCAGAGAGACCATTGAGGAAAGGGGCAAGTCAGACTAATGACAGGTGATGAATAGCACTTGGAGTAAAGAGAAGGAAGATAATACATGTAACATATTGTGGAGACAGAATTGACAGGATGTGGCTACTGTTTGGCCATGGTGGCTGAAATTTAGATACAAGGAGCTGGGAAAGATAAAGGACCGAAGTCTGAAAGAATAACTACATCAAAGGAATTTTTTTTATATGGTGACCTGTGTGGGAGGAGTGAGTAGATAAAGGCTTCTCTTACACTTAATGACGAGATTGGAATCACTCTACTGTGGATAGTTTGCCTTCTCCTAAAACATTCACATACCTGTGCAAACATACATCCATGGTCACTGGGGAATATATTCCTTTAGCACTTCACTGAGCTAATAGGCTGCAGGAGGAAGTGCGTGTGTGTGTGTGTGTGTGTGTGTGTGTGTGTGTGTGTGTGTGTGTGTGAGTGTGTGTGTGAGTGTGCGCGTGTGTGTGTGTGCGCGTGTGTGTGTGTGCGTGTGTGTGTGAATAAATTATTTAGGTAGGCCTATCTTACCTACTATTGAAACAGTCGGGAATGTTTGTTCTGTCTTTCTTTGATCATTTCATTGCTCATTATCACTGTTAGCAAAAAGCGTGGATAGAGAAAGTAGGAAATGAAATTCAGACTCATTAATTAGGCTTTGCAAGTACCTCTGGGGGAAAAATATTTGCTAGGAGTTGAGGCTAGTTTGTTTAGCTAAGATCATATGTTGAGTTAGCTATGGGTCAAACTTAATCAGGCCAGTATGTTTACATTTTCAAGCATAATCAGGGGTTTGGCTGATCTGTATTAATATGTATTCTAATAGTTTTAATTTTGTTCTAAGGTTACCTGCTTAAATATTAGCGATTTATGTTAACAGTTAGAACCTCTTCAATTACTGAACTATGATATGACATTTCCTTTTAAATAGATAATGCCCCGGATGTTAATGTAGAAGAACTGATGGCTGAGGTGAAAGAACTGAAAGAAACTATTGAAGAAAAAAATAAAGAGACAGATGAATACTTGGATAAGTATTGTAACCTTCTTGTTAGTTATGAAAAGCTGGAAAAAACTAAAGATATGTTAGAAGCGCAGGTTACTTTCCTGAGTTCTCTGCAAGGAAAACTTACCTCTCAGACTTCTCCTTTGCCAAACTCAATTGATTCAATACACTCTCCAAGTCATTCTGTTACTGAAAAGAAGACATTAGCCAGTCACAGTAAAGTTTCAAGCAAGAGACGAAGGTCTTGTGGTGCCAAAGCAAGTGATGGAGAATCAGTGCCTTCTACACCAGAGACTTTTACTAAAAGGATCAAAAAAGGAGTGGAACCAAAAGGTGCCACATGCTTCTCCAGAGGCTTGGAGAACGCTGAATATGAGCCAGAAGGACTACCAGAAGTGGTGAAGAAAGGTAACTCTTTACTTCTGAAATAACCTCTTTCCCTAGTCCCCCCACCCCTTTTCCTAATGTGTGAAATAAAATCCTGTCTCTGACAGAAATATATAGTCTCTAGAGCATTTGTGGATATTATTATATCATTTGGCCTTTATGGCTTGCAAGTGATTATTTAGATTGGCCTATACTCTTTTCCCCCCTCTTTTTTTGTGATAGCTAAAACTTCATGCCAGAGTACAAGAAAAGGTGGGTTGATTTGAATAACTAAACAAAAATAGTGCTTTGGATTAAAAAGCTACAGATTTTAATCTCTTGAATTGCACTTCCAGGGACTCTTCCTATAAGCCCTAGTAACTCAATGATATCTTGATTACCTGTCATTTAGAAACTAGGTGTGCCAGTGTGAGAGTATTGGGGATATCCCCATCTAATATCCCTACTGTGCCTTTTACATTCTCTTTTGTTTTTGCCCTAGGTATAATTCATAAATAGCTTATCCTTTAAAGTATCTATCAAAGCACAGGAAGTACCTTTAAAAAAATTAAAAATGCCTCCGTCGTTGTGGCCAAGTGGCTGAGAGAAAACTGGTCATTTTAGCTGAAAATCCTAAATATGGCTTTTAGTTCACCAATAACTGTTTAGTACCTACTGTGTACCAGATACACAGGTGCTGGGGATACAAAGACAAAAGTGACGAATCCTATCCTTAAAGAGCTTACAATCTATATACAGTAGACAGGTGGTTTGGGAGCAGGAAGAGGTTCATGGAGAAGGTGGCTCTTAAGACAAGCCTTGAAGAAAAAAGGTATTCTGATAGATGGCAGTGATAGATTGCATTCCAGGCATGGGCTATGAGGACTGAGAAAGAAGACCAGTTTGTCTGTTGTCTCTGATATTCTTTGAGGCCTTAACTTTTTTTTTTTTTAAAGATGCAGCTTAAGCACCACCTTCTAAAACAATGACTATTTAATTCCAACTCCCCCCAACATCTAATGCCCCTTTCCCCACTAACTACCTTGTATTTATTCTAAACATAGTTATCCTCTCTGTGTGTGTGTGTGTGTGTGTGTGTGTGTGTATGTATACACACATATATTGGCACTCCAATTAATAGATAAGCTCCTTGAAGACAGGGAATATTTCATCCCTTGTGTTTGTATCTCTAGTGCATAGCACAGTTCTGGGTGTTTGTTTTTTCATTGATTTATGTCTGTGTTCTGGTTTTGCTTTCTTCACTGTACATTAGTTCATACAAAGTCTTCTAATATTTCTTTATATTCCTACTATTCATTGGTCCTTTTGAAAATTATTCATTGATTCTTAATAGCACGATCATATTTTATTACGCTGACATGCCACAATTTGTTCAGCCATTCCACAGTGGACGGGCACCCTCTTTGTTTCCAGCTTTTTGGTTCCACAAAATGTGCTGCTTTGAATATTTTGTGGTACATGGTACCTTTGTATTTTGAACCTCCTCCAGGTTTATGCTCAGTGGTGTGAGTATTAGGTTAGAGGTTACCAACTTGTTTTTTGGGGATAGTCAATGCTACAGTCACGGGGGACCTCTTGAGTTTGTGGCTTTTTTTTTCTTTCTTCCCTGACTGTACCTTAACCTAAAGTGTGGCATTGGCTAATAAAGAAATAGAGCAAATCATCCACGTGGCTCAGTTGGTGATTTTTACCTTGTTCTTTGTCAGAATCTTAATGTACACTCACGTGCACGTGCACTCACACACAACACATATATAATCTTTTTAATTCTTTGTGAAGGAAAATCTTACCTGAGGAATTCTATGAAAAGTCCCTCTAGATCAGAATGCCTGTGCTGTGTTCTATGGCCAGTGTGAAATGTTCACGAAAGTTACCTTTTTCTAAAAACTAAACTTTGTTTCCTTTCTGTAGATGAATATTATTTTCAACTCTGGGTTAGAATAAGCCTTACTATTTCTATCTCATCAAAGCTAGCTATATTTTAAAAACAAACAAACTTGTGTCACAGGATTTGCTGACATCCCCACTGGAAAAACAAGCCCTTATGTCCTTCGGAGAACAACCCTGGCCACGAGGGCCAGCACCCGTCTTGCTGCACGGAAGTTATCACCTTCTTCTCTGAATCTACAGAAAGGACAGTCGGAAAATCTTGCTGAGACCTCCAAGCCAACAGCTGGTGGCAGCAAATCACAAAAGGTAACTGACTGCTGTGCACACTGATCTCGTCTGAAATCACGGGAGAATCTGGCACTCTGCTGTCCAGCTCCTGTGCTTATTAGCTTTTGATGTCTGATCTTTACTATAGTATGGTGCAAATAAATCACCAAAGGTAAGCCTGGTGAAAATGCCTAATGAAAGACATTGCGCTGTTGTTATTGTACAGACAAATTTTTCACCTTAAAGGACACTGCAATGTTATGTGTAAATGGTTAATAAGAAATAACATTACCTCAAACTCCCAGAGGAGATGGTGAAAAAAAGATTTCTAAGTTAGTAATGAGGACTTTGGGGCAGCTAGGTGGCACAGTGGATAGGTTTCTGGGCCTGGAGTCAGGAAGACCTGAATTCAAATCTAGCCTCACGCACTTACTAGCTATGTGACCCTGGACAAATCAATTAACCAACCTTCTTTGCCTCAGTTTCCTCATCTGGAAAATGAGCTGGAGAAGGAAAGTGCAAATCAGCTCAGTATCTTTGACAAGAAAACCCCAAATAGGGCCGTGAGGAGTTGGACATGACTTAAAATAACTGAACAACAGTGAGGGCTTTGAGGTGGTGTCTTTTCCCTTTGTTCCCAGACACTGATAGTTTGCTTGTTTGAGGCTGAGTGTTTTTACTTCAGTATTTTTCAGTACTCTAAACACCACTTTAATTGAACCAACAAGTCTCCTGACTAGGAGGAAATAGTGATTGTCCTCATTGAGGTACTTGCAGAGGGTTGTAAACATTGAATTCTAGCAAAAAAAACCCCACATTATAGGTAAAGGTATTAAGCATAGTCCATGTTTTTCATGTTCACAAATCAGGATATGTATATTTTTTCATGTGGCCTTTGAATTTGTCATGTTAAGTCATAGCAGAAAGTGAAATCTTCACCATAGTCTTAACAGAAAGAAACAGAAAGAAAAATCCTCTTCTTCCCAAATTCTACCCTGTTACCTTATCTCAAGTCTCACCCCAATTCACTCCATCCTTCATTCAGCTGCCAAGGTGATTTTTCTAGAGTAACTAGGTAGTGCAGTAGGTAGAATACTGAGCTTGAAATTAGAAGACTTGAGTTTGAATCCTGCCTCAGAGATGTAATAGTTATATGGCCAGCACAAGTCACTTAATGTCTGTTTGATGATCTTCTGTTTCCTCATTTTACAAATGAGAATAAACAGCACCTACCTCCCAGGGTTATCATGAAGATCAAATTGAAGCCATTTGGCAAACTTTAAAGGGCTATATAAATGTTGGCTGTTATTACTATTATTATTATTATTGTGTAGATCCGATAATGTTACCCTCTAGATTCAAATAGCATCTTCCTTTGGCATTTAAAGCTCTTCATAATGAGGCCTTTTCTTACAGTTTACTCTCCTTTGTGTTCTCTGATCCGCTGACATTGGCTTAGGTGTACAATCTTCCAGTTCTGATGTATGACCCCTCAGGCACTGCCCCTACCCTGTCTCTAGTCTTTGTCACCTCATCCTTTAACTATTGTAGTAGCCTGCTGATTAGTTTCCTTGCTTTGTTTCTCCCTAATGTATTCTATCTTCCACTTAGCTATCAAAGTGATCGCCCTAAAAGTCTAATCATGTCACTCCCCTACTCAATAAACTTGAATGTTTCTCTGTCATCTCCAGGATCAAATATAAAATCTTTTGACTTTTGAAGCTATTCATAACCTAGCCTCTTCCTACCTCTCCAGTCTTCTCACTCTGCTCTTCATACTGTATACAAGGACCTCTTTGCTGTTCCTGGCATAAGATACTCCATCTCTCACCTGGGCATTTTCACTGGCAGTCCCCATGCTTGGAATGCTCTTCCTCTTCATTTCAGTCTTATAACTTCCCTGCCTTCTTTCAAGCCTCTGCTCAAACCCTGCCTTCTGTAAGAAGTCTTTCCTGGTGTCCTTCACCCAGTTATCCTGTTTATCCTGTCTATATCTTGTTTGAACATAGTTGTTGGCAAGTTTCTCCCCCATTAGAGAGTAAGCTTCTTGAGGACAGGTGGTTTCTCTGTATCCTGAACACAGTGCATGGCACATTGTAGGTACTTATTATATGCTTATTGACTTGACTATAATCGTTGATTCCCTCAAAACTAATCTCACATTCCACCTTCTGTAGGAGACCTTTCTCAATCTCCTTCCCACTAATACCTTCCCTTCTCAGGTTAACGATCTAACTGTATATATACCTTATATGCTCCCAGTTATTTTTGTATCTCTCTGCTAATCCCTCACTCCCATGTCTGTGATGTAGACTTTTTGAGGCCAGGTACTTACTGTTTTCTGCCCTCTTTTTAACCCTAGTACTCTGCACAGTTCCTGGTATGTCATAAGCCCTTAATATAAATGCTTGTTGTTGACTAACTACTCCAAGCTGATATCGAGTTGTCACTTGGATTTGTTACTAATCCTTCTCATAATATTGTGTGTATATATACATATGTATGTGTATATATGTATATAATCTGTGTGTGAGTGTTTATGTCAGCAATAGCATAGCCAGTGAAAAACGGCCATATGGTAATTTTCTCTTTTCATGTGTGTCGTCTAGACTTGATGGCAAAGTTAATTTGAATGTGGCTTCTAGGATTTGCTGTCTAAGAAAAAAAGCTTTGCACACTAGGGGGCCTTCAATCCATATCATTTTCTTTTTCAGCTGTCCAAGGATTAATAACTGGTTACAACAGATTTGCTGCCAAGTGAATTAGATAGGTGGAGATCATTTGGTTTGTGTTTTTGTATCCCCAGTGCTTGGCCTTACTAGGTATTTTATATATATTTATTTATTTAACTTAGTAAATTTTGTTGAATTGAATTGAAAATTTGAAATGGAACATGCAAATGATAAGGTATCCTTTTGAAAGTGGACTTTTAAAAAATGCTTTGATCAGATTCAAACTTGCTTTTAACTCCTACCTAGTCATTTTAAAAGATATTGCTGAATGCTTGCCTTATCTGACAGTGGAGTATACAGCAAAGTTTAAAGATACATCAGTGTCTATTTTTTAAATATCTATCAAAATGTAGTGATAGTTTAGAAATTGGCCCTTCTTGGCTTTCTGTTTAATTTTTTGTAGAGAATTGATCAGAGCAAGTTAATTAAAAAGTGAAATATTGAGTTTGTGATATAAGCTAATAAGTGTAGCAGCTCTTAGATGATCAAAGATGGGCTATGTCTTTTCAAGTTCAGTAGTTTATTCTTAAACAACTTCCTTAGTAATGAATACTCAAATAAGAATCTAATGAATATGTTTCTATAGTTTTCTCTTACTATGAAACTGGACAGTCCTGACTCACTGTTGGCCACGAGTTTAGCATATGGTTTAAATTGTTCCTTCCTCTTAGCCTGGGGCAGAATAGGTTTATATTGCCATCTATACACTACAAAATATTCTCTATTGTGATGAGTAAAGTGTCTTTTATGTTGAATTTGAAAAAAAGTATAGTAAAGCTAATTGATCATTATGGGGAACAAACCTAAAATGCAATCTTTAATCAATTATAGACCATAATTTCCTAAGTTGGTCATGATTCAATATTATAGAGAAGTCAGCATAAATGTAGCATAGGATTTGGCTCTGTAGCTGGCTGAAGTTGATAACAATGTAGTTTTGGTGATCCACATTACTTTTGGTAAAGCTTGAGATTGTGTTGCATCTGTTGAGTAATGATTGGGATCCCTCATTTTATTTTTATTACTCCTGTTGTTTTTAATAGTTCTTTCTGAATATGGTCCATCTTTCCTTTCCCTGTCTAGCTATCCCTTTTTACAAAACATAAAACACAGTTCAGAAAAATCAACCAACTATTTATATAACATTTTTCACTAAAATAAAATGAGGGAGGGAATTTTTCTCACTTCTTAGGGGCCCATATTTAAATTGTTCTTTCAATTAATATTGTTGTAGTCATTTAGGTAGTAACTTAAATTTGCATCAGTTCATGTAAATCTTCCCATGCTTCTCTGAATTACTAATAGTTGCTGTTTCTTAAGATGCAATCGTTTTTCACTGTATTCCTGTACTACAGTATTCTTCAGTTGGATGCTCTGGTAGCAAGAAACTGTAAACAGTGTTGCTATGAATATTTTGGAGTGTATGGGATATATCTTTCTGTCTTTTCTTTGGGTTATATACCTTTCCATTGGATCTCTGGCTCAAAGACTGTGGACATTTTGATCACTTTTTTTTTTAAAGCATGATTCTGTATTGCTTTCTTGAGTGGTTGTACCCCTTCACATCTCCACTAGCAGTGTATTAGTGTTCTTGTCTTCCCTCCAGCATTGAGTATTTCCATCTTTTGTTATCCTTGCCAGTTTGCTAGGTGTGAGTTGTTTTTAGAATTTTTTTATTGTTAGCGATTTGTAGCAGTCTTTCATATAGTTGATAACAGTTTGTAGTTCTTTTCTGAACTGTTTACTTCTTTTGCGATTGTGTATTTGTTGAAATTTCCTATATATCTTAAATATCAGTCTCTAATTGGAGATTTTTTATATAAAGATATTTTCTCCCTATCTATCACTTCTTTTCTAAATATATGTGCATTGATTTTGTTCCTACAAAAACTTTTCAGTTTTATGTAATTAAAATTGTCTCTCTTTTCTTTTGAGATTACTCCCTGTATTCTGTGTTTGGTTAAGGAGTCTGTCCTTGCCATATTTGTGAGAGAGAATAATTGATTTAAAGCTACTTGGGCAACTAAGAGGTATCTTTGGCAAGGTCACTGAGGGAGTGTCAGAGCCAGAAATTTGAACCTAGGTCCTCTGATTCCAAATTAAATGCTCTTCCCACCACACCACACTGCCTCTACTGAGGTGTCTTTTAACAAAACTGTTAACCACTTTACATAAACTACATAGTTTATGTTCTGCCTGTTTTGCCTGTTTTAAAAACTGGTTGCAGTTGTACAGCAGAGGAAGATTTTTAAATTACTTGGTTTGATTTGTCATCATCTTTGTGTGTAAATTGTAGTTTATTAGCAAACTATGTGTAAAGCATATAGGCTAGGGACTAGCTTTTTCCTTTTGCCTTCAACTTCAATCATATGTAGCTTTTATTGATATTATTGCTTTTTCTTTCTCATAAGGTCCATGAGTAGCCCTAATTCTTCCCATCTAATACCTCTATCCCTCTCATCTGTTCAACAATTCTTTTCAACTATCAGCTTTTATGTCAGACTAGGAATTCCCTGAGGACAGAAGGATGTCTTATCTGAACTCTAGCTTGCAAACCTAACAAAATACGTATGCATGTTAAATGTTTGAAATGAATTTTAAGAAGCAAGTTCTAATTGAGTACACTGGGGAGAAGTTCTCTTTCTGTGAACTGTCATCAGGCAGCTGTCTGTCTGCCAATGTTTAATCAAATATCTTAATAAACAACAAATGAAGAACATTGTACTTTGAGGTCAGGTGGCATGTCTTTTGTATATTCTTTGTAAATCACTGAAGAGAATCATTAGAGTTTTGAGTTTAAATATATTATCATCAGCATTGGATAATGAAAACAGCACTGGATTTGGGAGTCGGGTATTCTGGATGGCTTATACTGACTGGCAGAGAAAGCCAGGAATCAAACTCTGATGAAGTCAGTTGATAACTAAGTCCTGGGCTTGTCCCATTACTATGCTGCCTACTCCATTATGCTGTACTTTTCTCCTAATTTCTTCCCTGATAAATAAAATCTTATGCCTCAGGAAAGGAGAAACAACACATACAGTTCTACATAGAAAGCGTTTAACAGTTTTTAGTTGTTTATTTTTGTGCTTTGTTCTTAATTTTGTAGAAATGTTTGTAGTCATTAAAACCAAATTATTAAAACAAAGATGTTTCTATTGTAGGCAAAAGATGTCCATCAGCACCAAGTGGAATCCCTTGTGACAGCCACAGAGCCTACCACAAGATCTCCTCTTTCTGCAAATAATCTTTCAAAAAAACCTTCTGCTGACATCCCTAAAGAGAGTGTGAGAACCAAGCGAGTCAGACGTTCCCCAAGCAAACATGCTGTTCCTGAACAAAACAAAGAAGAAAACTGTAGGGTTCAGTGAATTTTAAAGGGTTTCTGTAGTATGAGTGCCATACAAATTAAAGAACATTTTATAAAAGGCCTCCCAAAGAGGTTTTTGTTTAGTTGTCTTGCAGTTGTCGAGTGTGTGTGTGTGTGTGTGTGTGTGTGTGTGTGTGTGTGTGTGTGTGTGCGTGCGCATACGCGCGCGTTTTTAGATGGGAAATGTTAGAAGAAGAACAATTGTATTGCTTTTGCATATCATTCTCATTGTTGTTCCTCCGTGTACAGTAATGTAAATAGTCCTGTATGAAGTTATGTGGAAAAAGTTGTAAAATACTTTAAATAGGGAATGAGGCATTAAACCTACAAAACACATTTTATGTTATATTCATTAAAATGACCAATAGTACCAAAAATATGTATTGTAATTTTAGTCTGTATCAGGAGACATATGAGAGATTTTGAGGAACGAATTGTAATAGCCATATGTCCACCTGAATAAATAAAAAGAAAACCATGTATTTTAGGAGTAAGTAAAAGATAGGTGTAGTTTGTTTATAGTAAAATTATGATTTTGAAGTGTCTATAGCTAACGTAAATGATTAAAAATAAAAAAAATACATTATCTGTGGAAATATATAGTTCATTCTTTCTGTTGACTCCTGACGTGGGAAATGGAGAAACATGACTGTGTGTGAGAATGCTTAGAAATCCTGTTATTATTCAGATAATAGATTATCAAATGATAATATTCAGATAATATTATTCAGATATAATGATCATATGAAGGTCACTTCCTAAGAAAAAATTCCTAAATTGGTTTTTCATTAAGATAAGGGTTGTTGGGGCAGCTAGGTGGTGCAGTGGACAGAGCACTGGCCCTGGAGTCAGGGGACCTGAGTTCAAATCCGACCTCAGGCACATAACACTCACTAGCTGTGTGACTCCGGGCAAGTCACTTAAACCCAATTGCCTCATCAAAAAAAAAAAAGATAAGGGTGGTTGACATTGTCAAAGGCTAACAGAGAAGTGAAGAAAGATAAGGATTGATTGAAGACTGTTAGATTTAGTATTTAGTCAATCAATAAACATTTTATTAAGTGCCTAGTATGAACCAGACACTGCTAGGCACTGGGAATATGAAGAAGGGCAAAAGATAGTCCCTGTCCTTAAGGAACTCACAATCTAATGGGAGAGACAAGCTAACAAATATATACAAACAAGCTATGTACAAAATAAATAATTAAAAAGGCACCAGAATTAAGAGGGGATTGAGAAAGGCTTCCTGTAGAGGATTGGATTTTAGTTGGGACTTGAAAGAAGCCAAAGAAAGCCAGGAGGAGGAGATGGGGATGGAGAGCATTCCAAGCATGGGAGACAGCCAGTGAAAATGCCTGGAGCTATTAGGTATCTTGTTCAGGGAATAGCAAGAAGGTTGCTGTTACTGGATCAAAGATGGAAGGGGGATGAAGGGATCATTGGTAATTTTGGAAAGAGTAGTTTCAGTTGAATGATGTAGTTGGAAGCCAGACTGCAGAGATTTAAGGGAGTGAGGAAAGGAAGTAAAGGCACCAGTTGTAGATTAGCTAGGAAAGGAGAAGAGATAAAGTATGATAACAGAGATGGATGGATCAAGTTACGGTTTTTGAAGGATGGGGAAAGAGATGGGCATGTCTAGGCAGGAGGGAAGTAGTAGATGGAGAGACTGAAGAAAAATGAGGGCAGATGATAAGAGGTAGAAATCTGAAGGAGAAAGGATGGAAGGGAATTGCTGGTTTACCTTGGCAGGCTATAGGGCCTCCTGTTTATGAGAAACAGGTGAAAGAGGTAGAAGGCATCTAGAAAATACAAGATGAAGAGAGTAGAAGAGGGGGCTCTTGGCTAATGACCTCAAATAAGTGGATGGGGTGCCAAGAACCAGGGTTTGAGCGATGGCAGGAGATGGATGGAGGGAATGATGAGGTGGGAGTGTATATTCATCACGAAGGAACACGTTCTTTTGGGTTATCATTTGTTCAGGTTCAGTCTGGGGCTGGAGTTGTCCCTGGGTGACTGGTGGCTGTGTGTATCTGGAAATGGGGAGAGGGAGTTGCCTAGTGCAGGCTGAGCATCCAAAGAGAGTGCTTGGAGCCTGGAGCATGTTAGGTGAGCTGGCTACTGTAGAGCTCAGGCAGTCAGAGAGTGTTAGTCTCTGCTAGGCAAGCTGGAAAAAAATCTGAATATCAATATCAAAATTGAAACATACACATATGTCTCTATATCTCTATATAGATAGACGATTGATGATAGATGACATGTATATATCTAATGTATCCATCCATCTATCTATCTATCTATCTGTCTGCTGTCTGTCTGTCTGTCTATCTAAACCTCATGTTGTGAAAGAAAACAACCCCCCCAAAACCAACTAAAAAACCCCAACCCCAAGAAAAATAAAGTGAAAAAAAAGTATGCTTCAATCTGTATTCAGACATTATCAGTTCTTTCTGTGGGGATGAATAGCATTTTTCATCGTAAGTCCTTCAGAATTGTCTTGGATCATTGTATTGCTGAGAATAGCTCAGTCTTACAATATTGCTATTACTTTGTACATAGTACATTTCACTTTAAATTGCAAATTTTTTTGAAGCAGGTCAAGCTAGTCCATATGTTCTCATAGATCCAGTGATAGAAGGTAAAAAATCAGCCTTGGTCCGATTTCTTACAATATAGTAGCCATTTTACTCTGTTTGCCTCAGTTTCCTCATCTATTAAGTGAGCCGGAAAAGGAAATGGCAAACCACTGCTGTATCTTTGCCAAGAAAATTCCATACGGGTCACAAAGAGTCATACATGATGGAATAACAATAGGCCCCAAAATCTATATCTTATAAACAGTGAGACAGGTAATCTACTTGACCTCTGGTGACAAAAAAACCCATCACCTCTCACCTCAACTCATTCTACTTTGAGGTAGCTCTGATTTTTAGAAAATTTATCCTTATATTAAGTACAAATTTACCTCTCTGTAACTTTTTTCCCATTGCTCCTACTTCTGGCTTCTAGGGACAAGCAGACCAAATCTGATCCCTCTCCCACATAATAGCCTTTCCAATATTTGAAAGTAGCTATCATGTCTCCCCAAGACATTTTTTTTTAAGCGAAAGATCCATGGCTCTTTCAATGAGTCTTTGTATGGTATAGTTTCTAACATTTGGAATTTGTGATGGTTTAGATGCAAGTTAGGTGGCAGCTAAGTGGTGCAATGGATAAAGTATCAGGCCTGGAGTCAGGATAACCTGAGTTAAAATCCAGCCTTACTAGCTGTTTGATCTTGGGCAAGTCACTTAACCCCTTTGCATCAGTTTCCTCATCCATAAAATGGGGATAATAACAGTATCTGTTTTCAAGGATTGTTGTGAACATCAAATGAGAATATTTACAAAGTGCTTAGCACTGTGGCTGGCATAAAGTAAGTACCATATTTTAGGGGGAAAAAAAGAATGATGTTTACTTTTGCATTATCCAGCAAGAATGGCTTTTCTAAACAAATAAATAGTGGGGGGAAAAAATCCCTAGAAATAATGCCTAACCTAATTTTAACAATAACAATAGCTAGAGGTATGCTGGTAAATGTTTAATGACTAGCTTTCCAGAAAGAAAGGAGCACACATTTTAAAGCTGAATCTGCTTTATTAAATTTTATGTTACTTTCTTAAGTATGGACAAACAATAAATCAAACCCTGATTGGTAGCAGTTGCCTGATTTCCAAGGTGTAGTAAATGCTCCCACCAGACTATCACTCTCTTAAGCCAGTTTGGGCTGACTGCAGCATGCAGTCTGACTAGAGCTCATATTTATATAATACCTCGTAGCTAACAAAGTGCTGTTCTTACCATGACACATTGAGTAAGGTAGTGTAGATACTGTCACTCTCTATCTTATGGATATGGACGCTGAAGCTCAGAAAGGGGAAAGAGGCCCACCGAGTCACACAGCTAGGAAGTGGAGAAACTAGGACTCAAATCCAAGTCTTACTTCAAATTCAATTTTCCCTGCTTTTACGTACACTGGCAACATCTATTGAACAATTAATATGCTTGCTGTAAATGATTCTTATCTAAGCATTTACTGCTGGCTTCTTCCAGAAAAGGTCATGGGAGAAAGCACAGGAGAACAGAGAAGGATTTCAGCTGAACAAGGAGAAGGAAGTTATGAAGGTGATTTGAGAGATTTGATTTTGTACAGAAGGCTAGAAATTGAATCTGGGGAGGAGGCATTTGGCAGGATTTGAGGAATATGTGAAAAAGATCAGTCTGTAGATCCACATTCTATTTTCCCTTTTGCAAGGTAAGATTTTAGGAGAAAAGTCCTGGAAAGCAACCAAGATGGCAGAGTAGGAGGAAGTAGTACAGCCTAGCTCCCCTGCCACTACATGACTCAGCCCTCAGCACAGGGGCCGTAGCTCTGTAAGCCAGATTTCTCCCATCCCAATCCATTCCATGGTTATCTGGGACTCAGCCCCCCATGCGAATAATAAGGCTGCAGCTTGGTAGCTCTGAACTCAGTCTCCTGAGAAGGAATCTTGAGACGTGGATTTCTGCCCCTAGGGGCCAGGTTTGTAGACTTCTCTCTCTAACCTGGGAGAGAAGACCACTGGCAGTCCCAGGGCAAAAAGCAGGGCTTTCACATAGTTGCTTTAGCTTTTCGTAACATCATTCTCTCCTGGTTCTCCTCCTACCTGACTAGTCCTTCTCAGTCTCTTTTGCTAGATTATCATCTAGATCACACCTGGCCACTGTGGGTACCCTAGAGGGCACTGTCATAGGCCCTTTTCTCTTCTCCCTCCATACTATTTCACTTAGCAATCTCATCAGTGCACATGAATTCAATTGCCATCTCTGTGCTGATGATCCTGAAATCTACTGATCTAGCCCTAGCCTCCCTGCTTACTTCTAGTCTCACATCTCCAACTGCCTATTGGATATCTTGAACTGGTTGTCTTATAGACATTTAAACTCAACATGTCCAAAACTGAAACTCATTATCTTTTCCCCAAAACCCTCCCATCTTAATATTTCTATTACTGTTCGGGGTACCACCATGTTCCCAGTCCCCTGGGCTCACAGTTAGTTGCTGTCCTTAACTCCTCACTCTCACCCCACCCCCCTTACCCCCACATCCAATGTATTGCCAAGGCCTGTCAATTTTACCTTGGTAACATCTCTCAAATATGCTTCCTTCTCTTCTCTGACAGTGCTACCATTTTGGTATGGGCCCTCATCATCTTATGCCTGGACTATTATAATAGCCTCCTGGTTGGTCTCCCTGCCCCAAGTCTCTCTTCAGTCCATCCTCCATTCAACTGTCAAAGTGATCTTCCTAAACAAGATGACCATGTCATCTTGCTACTCAAAAAACTCCAGTGACTTCCTATTACCACTAGGATCAGATACAGTTATCCCTTCCACATCGTGACTTTCTCCATCTTGGTTTCAATATATCGTGGGTCAGCATAAGAAATTAAATGGGAATCTTTGGGGAGTTTTGCAGAAGCTGCAGACAACACGCAAAGGCCAACGACAACATAGAAAAAGTTTAGAAACTCAGAAATACTTAAAATAAATGTATAGTGTTGTATT